GGGAAAATATATCTGTTCAATTCACAATGATGGGACAATATTGAGAAAATATATCTGTTCAATTCACAATGATGGGACAATATTGGGAAAATATATCTGTTCAATTCACAATGATGGGACAATATTGGGAAAATATATCTGTTCAATTCACAATGATGGGACAATATTGGGAAAATGTATCTGTTCAATTCACAATGATGGGATAATATTGAGAAAATATATCTGTTCAATTCACAATGTTGGGACAATATTGGGAAAATGTTACTGTTCAATTCACAGTGATGGGATAATATTGGGAAAACTTTCACAATTTATTCTCATGATAGGGTGATTATTGGGAATAAAAACACAATCAAACCCCGAACGAGTGAAACATTTGGGAAAATTTATCCCATTATTGAGAAAGAGTTGGGTCACCAATTAACAAGGGAGTCAATCCCTAAATTTTCCCAATATTGAGAACAATCATTTCCCAATTTTGTCCGTAAATTGGGATAATTTCACAATGAAATCCTAAGTTTTAAAAATTGGGAATTGGTAAATTTTTCCTGTGTATTACATAGATTATTACATTTGAGAAGCATTTGGAAAGTGTTTTGTATACTGAGTGTACCTACTCGTGCACGTAGACTGAAACGGTGTATCTCAATTCAAATGAATTTGCCATACATCGTATCACTACAACTTCGGGAAATTTAAAGTACTCAAATACTCTTTACAAACAGTGGTAAGACCAAAGAAGAAAAAGGAATAGACGAGAAATGGTAAGTTTTTTTATAATATCCCTTGACTGTGACTCTTGAAGTTCGGTAAAATTTATACGCAGTACCTGGTAATTCGTTCCAGTGTCATGTTAAAAACACTAATCAACGTTTAATATTACTCGTTCCTGGCGACCATTTTTTGATATTATTCTACGTGCAATCTGCAATTCCCCGGGGTTTACGAAAGTATGATTGACAGCGTACTAAACAGGTACTAATCCCCTAGGGTGAATGATTTTGACCAATCATATCGTTSYCCAGTCAKGCATTTAGTTTAGGTTGAGCGGCTTGGCTTAATCACCCTTAATCACCAATGTCCAGAAAACAATAGGCATTCTGTGGATATATTGTACTAGAAGGTCCTCAAGGCCTTTCGTTTTACAAGCAATGCAAACAATGCAAGTAACATTACAAAGAATGATATCTCCTGGTTGATTCCCATGACAAGCCCTGTCCTTCATATGGAAAGTCCCAGATATGGTGTACATGTCCTTTATGGAAAGATGATTTTCCTGTTATTTTATTTGAAAGTTTTACTATGTTTATTCCATTTTTTGTAACATTTGTTCTTAGTATTCTGACAGCAAGATGGTTGACCAAAACAAAAGACACCAAAACCATCTAAGCGAAAAACAGCAAAACTTACCAGCACATCGAACTCCAGCAGCTGTTTGCATGGTTCTCGCGTCTGTGTTGCCATATTCATGTTGCTGGCTACCCTTGCTGAAGTACAGCRAAACGTACCAGCACATCGAACTCAAGCAGCCGTTCGAATGGTTCTTACATCTGTGTTGCTATATAAATGC